GTTCGGTGGGGATGTTTGTAAGGATTCAGGCAAATTATGCTGGCCTGCCCCTGTCACCTGACAGAAAGCACGCAGGCAGTACCCTGGTCAGCCCAGGGTTCCACGGTTTCATAGTCTGCACACAGGTACAAAGGACCCCTTTAGCTCTTTGCTCTCTTTCTGGCTCTTCTCTCTCTCTTCCTCTTCTCTTCTGTTCCCGGTGCCTCTGTGTCTCTTTTCTCTTCCCTTTCCCCTCAGTCCCCTTTCTAAATAAACTCACTCAAGCTCTGTCTGCCTGGCATGTTATTCCCTCCACCTTGGTCACCCTCACCTGCTATGGAACCTGTTATGCTCTCCCACGTGGTCCCTTACTTTGTGACCCCCCACGTGGAACATCCCCCTCTTCTCTAGCTTTATCATTAAAACAAAACAGCAATGTTTATGTCTGGGGAAGCACTATATAGGGCCGTTTTGATCACGTGTTTTCTTTCATTTTTAGAATTGAACCCCGATTGATACATTGGAGAATAAGTTCCACTTGCAAAAGAATCCAGCTAGTCTGAACGGGTCATTTTGGAAAGCTACGCATCATTTCCCTCATCACGGCACTTCTTCCCAGAGAAGGGAGGTTTTTTTGTTTGTTTGTTTGTTTGTTTGTTTTATCTTGGGTTTTTTTTTTGTTTTGTTTTGTTTTTTTGGCCTTTCGGAACAGAGAAGAGTTTTAAACAACCCAGACCAAACCTCAGAACAGTTGAAAGTCTGACTGATTTTTAAGAGGCAAAGGCTGGCACACTGATTTGTTACTTTTTTTATGATTTCCAAACCCCAATTATGAAAATTATTTGAGGTCACTTATAATAGAAAGCGCGCATATAATAAAACTTGGAACTATTAACACATGAATAAGAGACCCTGTGGATTACAGAGGAAAGCAAACATCCGATTCCAATAGAAAACTCAGTCCTGCGTCAAGGCCAGGGCAGAGAGCTAAAGTATTGTGAGGACAACACAATAATTTGTTAGCTGTCACATCACATAAGCTCAGAGGAGTGGCACTTGGCACCAGCTACCCGCCTTGGGGAAGGGTACATGCTGAGACAGAAAAGCGTGGAGAAGGCTCAGTGTTGAGGGGACCACGACTTCCCAGGGAGAACTAAGGAAACCGAGGAGGAGATGACTGAAGAGACAAACTAGGACCACCTTCTGGCAGAAGAGATCCCTCCATTCACAGGCCCCAGCCCCTGGGTGGGGTTTAAACTTGAAGAAGGAATAATTTACCAACAGTAGAAGTCAGGCCCAGGAGTGAGTGGGAAGCCTGAAGTAGAGACATGGAGGGGAAAAAAAATGCAAGGCCAAGGTAAATGTAAGGAGGTATCCCCAGCAAATGTAAGGACATACCACCACCACCTCTGATCCCTGACCCACTCCCACGCTCCAGAAGTTAGAACTGGGGTTGCCTTGATCCTTCCTTTGACCAAAAAGAACATGGACTGCAGGACTTGCCTTTCCAGGAATGCACTTAGCTTACCCAAAGCCTTCTGGGATCTCAGGGAGAAGATAGTGGGGTAAGGTGTAGTCAGTAGACTACTGACAGTCCCCCCATCAGTAATGTGTGAATGGTCTGGACTGGCTTGCTATGTAGCAATAGCTAACTTGCTACAGCTGCTGCTTGCTACCTCTTTACATCTGACTTTCCAAGCCTTGGCTTTTGTATTTTTAATGTTATAGGAGTCTTTCAAGGATTACAGAAATTAACATATGTAAATATTTAGAGCAGTGTCTGCCACATATATTTGCTATTTTTCGGGCATGCCACCAAGCTGTTTGATACACGCGTTTCATGCATTTTCCATTGTCACAAAAGCTCTTTGAAGCCAATACTATTTATAGTCACACTTTATAATACAAAGTGAGAGTCTGAGAAATGGAGCAATATTCTGATTAGTGAGCCGTAGACATGAAATTCAATCAGTTATGTAGCTTTCGTCATTGAATTGTGGTTTCTGTGAGGCTGCCCTGAGGGTGGCAGGGTAGAATTAACTAAAAAGGGATCTCTCTCTTACATGGAAATACACTGTAAAGTTTTAAAAATCCACACATTCTTGCTTTCCTTGAAGTATGAGTCAGTGCCTAAAGTAGTGATTTTGGGCATTTCAATTACCACCTTGATTGGATCTGGAATTAGCAGAGACAAGCCTCCAGGTGGGTCTGTGAGAGTGTTTCCTGGAAGGTTTAACTGACAGGTGAAGACCCTCCCCTGGAGTGGAGCATCTTCTAGCTGCTGCCAAGGCATGAGAGTTCTGACTGAGAAAAAGGGTGCAAGCTTTGCCCACCTGCCTTTGCTCCCTGCAGGTGAGTGCATCTATCCTGGGGCATAGCGCCTAAGCCCCTTGCATCTCTCACTCTTGGGACTGGACCCCAGATGTTTAACTCCGGGCTTCTTCTTCTTCTTCTTCTTCTTCTTCTTCTCCTTCTCCTTCTCCTTCTCCTTCTCCTTCTCCTTCTCCTTCTCCTTCTCCTCCTCCTCCTCCTCCTCCTCCAAAGCAGTTCCGGTCCCTGGACCAATTGCAAGCAGTCCACTCACACCGAATTACCTTAAATTGGTACTTCATGGTCCCTGAACACCTGAACAGTCTCTTACCTAAGACTTTCCATATTAAAAGTTAATTTTTAGCCCTAAAAGAACTAAGGAAATCTTGGCTTAACTCCTACACACACTACCTGTATTAATAATTTCAATTTCATCAAAATTTCATATGTTCACCAAGATTAATTAATAAACCAAACAAATTCTAGCCATTATATAGAATTCCACAGGGAAAAGCAAAACTTTATAAATAGTGGAGAGGTAGCTGAGCAGTTAGAAGTACATCTGCTCTTCCAGAGGGCCCAAGTAGGATTTGGGCAAACACACTGAGTGGCTCACAGCCACCTATAATCACAACTCTAGGGATCATACTTCTGTGACCTCTTCAGGTACCCACATTCATGTGCGCATAACCACACACTTGTACACATAATTAAATATGCATTAACTATACTCAGCTGAGCCTCAGAAAAAGCATACTCATGGCCACAGGGGGGCAGCAAAGGGTAAAATATGAGCTGGCCTTCCTCAGCCATGGAATGCCTCACTCTGTTGCTCTGTTCTGGTCTGACTTTTGAGCAGATGTTGCGTTTTCTGTGACATGCTGGCTTAATTAACACCTACCACCTTACATTTCCTCATCTGGGGTTCTGGATCGCTCCAAGCAGCAGACAAAATATATAGAAAACTAGGGACGAGGACATGTGTAAGCCAGGAGTCTGTAATCTGGCAAAGGGGTTGATGACCCTTGGCAACATTAAGGAATCTTCATGTTTTTATTTGTGCAAACATCAACAGCAGTAGAAAACAGAGACACAGGTTCCCACGGCTAGAAAGGTGGCACAGAAGGTAGAGGTGCTTGCTGCCATCACTGACCTGAGTTCAACCCCCAGAATCCAAACGGTAGAAGCTGAGAACCAACTCCTGTAAATTGATCTTCATATGCATGTTGTGGCACACACGTGCGCAGAGTGAAAACGTGCACACACACAATTTTGAGCACCCATCTTCCCTCCATCCTTGACCCTGGTCCTTTCTGTGCATCTCACACAGATATCCCCACAGTAACAGCCCACCAGCTGTACCACACACATTCCTCCCTCTGGGAATTGGTAGAGCTGTTGTCTGGGCTATATGAGGTCAAGACCTGCCCGAGTTTGTATTTATTTACTTACTTACTTATTTATTTTCCCAATCGGGGTTTATCTGTGTAACAGCCCTGGCTGTCCTGGAACTGGCTCTGTAGACCAGGCTGACCTTGAATTCAGAAAGATCCACCAGTTTCTGCTTTCCAAGTGCTGGGATTAAAGGTGTGTGCCACCACCCCCTGGTTGTTCTCATATTCTTGCCTAGGCCCTCAATATCAGAATCCCTCCTGCTGTCACCCAAGAACCCTGGATCTAAGTGTAGGGTGTGATTCTTATATTTTTGGTTGTGAGCCCAGCCTTTAACAGCTGAGCCATCTCTCCAGCCCTGTAGGGTGTAATTCTAAGGAGTATTTGATCTCTGATCACCCTGAGAGCTTAGGGAGAGATGAAAGTCAACAGCATGTCAGATATACAACTGTGTATAAACAACAGTTGACTATAACACCACATAAAAATATTTCTTCTTTTGAATCAGGATCTCACTGTAATGTAGGTTATCCTCCTAAGAGCTGGGATTACAGGTGTTCCCTACTATGTGCCTGGAAGGGTCATCTTTTCAGGGAGTGACAAGCAGGAAGCAAAGAGCAAGGATTTCAAGAATGAGATGACCGAGAAAGAAGGCAATGGACAGACTGCCCTCCGGCAAGCTCAACCCTTGCATGCCTTCAGCCGCATCAGCCATGCATCCCATCCTGTACCCCCAATCTACAGAATCATCTGTGATATCACAGGCCCTCCATACTCCCCTGGGTCACCTTAGCAACCACATAGTCCTTGGAAGCAGGATGGTATACTTGTGTTTTATTTTCACTTCTTACAAGAACACAATACGCTCAAACAGAAAAATGGGGATTGCATACACCACTGATAAAGGAACCCAGCTCCCTTTGTTAACAATAAATAAATATTAAAACAGTGAGTGGGGTGTTCCCCCAACAGCCCTCAGTGGTTCCCAAGGCTTGCAGAGGTAGAGTCCCGTGAGGGAGGAGACACAGCCGGGCAAGCAGCTCCTGCTGAGTTTCTCCAGTAGAGGCAAACAAACCACAATAAATAACAAAGGTGACAACAATAGCTGAGACAGTCAGCACAACACAATGTAACAATATATTAGACTTAAATAATTTTCTCCTGGAGAAGCTTCAAGTGCAGAGAGAACAATGTTGGCAACCTGGGTCTCCACTGCAATTTTGGTCTCTGGTGCAGGAAGGATGTCCTGACTTAGAATGTTTGTCCAGTAAGACCCAGGGATGGTGGGTGAGTCGATTCCCCCCCCCCCCAGCCCTCACCCTTCTAAGCAGCCCCTGATACTACCTGGCTGTACATCCAGCTTTGCATCCAGAGCTTTCTTGGTCCCTGGCCTAGCTCTCCCCTAACTGCAGTGGGCATCTCCTGTCTATAGGAAAGAAACACAAGGCTCCCTTTCCACCAGGGGGCATCTCTTGATCCCAGTCTGATACCCAGGAAGAGAACTGATTTGATTTCAGCTAGACATTTAGGCTCCTCCCACAGATGGATTTTCTATGGCTCTCCCTCACTCAGTTCCTGGACATGAGTGCTGGCCGGGTGACTGAAGCCTCCTTCCACCCACCTCCCTCCTCTCAGAACTCATCTTCCAAGGCTGTGCAGGACTCAGTAAGGCCTCCCAGTTAGCCCTCTGTTCGCAGGTGGACCCTGCTGCAAATGTTAAGGTTGGGGGCCACCGACAAAAGGCCACCAAGAGCACCCAGTCTAGGGTCACATGAGCAAAGTGGCTTCTTTTTCAGGCTTTATTACTGACCTGGGAAGGGGCTCACAGGCCAGCTTTTGAGGTACAAAAAAAATCTCATTTGGGGCAAGAATCCTATTGACTCATTGACCCCCATGAGACTGCAAGAACGAACACAGGAATGTTAAGAAGCCTAAGCTAGAGGGCTCCTGGTATCTCTGGGAAGGCAAGCACAGAAGAGGAAGGTTCCACATTCACAGTTTTCCTTCTAGGCCCAATCCAGGACTGGGGAGATCAAGTGTCTTGCAGGCGAACAGCTGCCACGGTTCTCTCCAGCTCCTATCCTCAAGGTGCCCAACCACCCAGCATTCTTTTGTGCCCTGGTGGGGGTGAACGTAACTGCTGTACCACCATCCCTTCCCCCAGAGCGCCCCACACAGCCTCCTTGTCAGCCGTCAGCTGGCACGCTGAGCCCACCACAGTATATGGAGGAGAGAGAGTTCTTCACACCCAGGATGCGGGACCGTGTGTCCCTTCACTGTCCTCTCGCACTTGTTGGGCAGAACCTGCCTCCCACACAGGGCAGCTGCTTCAGGGACCGGTGACTCCACCTCTCTTCCCGCTGGCTTCTTCTTCGCTGCTGTGGAAGCTCAAGTGTGTGAAGGCTCATCGGGGCTGCAGCTGGACGCAGAGGCGGAGGAGGCGGCTGAGGCTTGGGCAGCCAGGTCCCGGTAAGCGGGTGACTTGAGGAAGCGCGGATAGGAGTCCTTCTCCATGAGGGTGCGGGTCTTCCCCTGAGCCACGTCGAAGCAGCTGGAAGTGGCTGCCTGCAGATTTGTCCTTGTCAGCTCTCGGGTCTCATGGTCTATGTTCACCTGTGGGAAGAAGGGCAAATGCAAGGGTGAGTGAGGGGTACCGAGCAGCAGGCCTGTCTGGTGGGCAAGAGCTCTTAACCACTGAGCCATCTCTCTAGCCCCACTAAACAGCTTTTCAGCCCTGGGACAGTTCCCACATCGGACCCAGGGTCCTTTGGACTCTCAGGATTAACACGAGGCAGTGTCATGCAAAGCCAGAAGCTGTATTCTCTTGTCCGAGCCCTGCTCTGAGCCACCACCTCTGGCTGGATCTATGCGATCATTCCTAACTGGCTTTTTCCTCCACTCGCTCCCACAGTCTGCTAACCTTGCAGCTGCTACACTAAGCCCACTCATGCTTCCTCCCCATGCCATTCATAAGAAAACTAGGATGACCGCATCAGGTCCCACTGTCTCCCTGCTCCTTGGGTGGCCTGCTGTCCCCTGTGGCAGGATGTCCTTACACCTTCTACCTTGATCCTTACACACACACACACACCGCTTTGTGTGTTGTTTCACCCACTTCCTAGCTCCCAGTGTGTGCTCGCACCCCACCTGGTTTATGTTGAATTGGTTTACTGACATCTTCTCGATTAGAATATAATTCCATTAGAAATCTTTTTGTTCATTGCAATATCCTCTGAGATCACAAAAGTGCCTTGCATATGAGTGATACTTAAATCTTTATATGGTGTGAAATAAGGCAGCAGCAAGAAAACAGAAGATACAAAAGCATGGCATTACTCAGATATGCCCACAAGGTGGCGCTGCTGCTCCTGGGCCGATACCTCCAAGAGGGAAGGCTGAATTGCTTTAAAAAAAAAAAAGGCAATTGTCCCCCAAGGGTGGAGTCAGGTCAGCCAGGGCACTAAGCCAAGTTATCCAAAGTTCTTGTGATAACTTTGTTCCTCCAGTTGATGTGCTGGGGTTCTAAAACATTACAAGTGTAGGTATGGAAAGAAAGAAAGCAAAAAACCTGCTGTCCTGTCCTGTGCCACCAAGAGTCACAAAGCCTAGCTAGTCTCTGGTCACTGAGGCCCTACCCTACCATACACCTCTGTAACCAAAACCTAATCCTTCCCTCACCATCCCCCACCATCCCCGGTTCTCACAGGGAAAGGGCAGGCAGGATCTGGGGAGTCATGGCCAGTGAGGGGACACTGACCTCTTTAGGGGCTTCACTTCGAATGTACTCGTCAAAGATGTGGTGAGCCCTGGTGGTCAGTTTGGTGGCTGACCGGATCTTCTTGAACTCCTCACAGGCCAGCCAGAACTCCAGGTTCTCCTGGCTGAACTCCGTCTTCAGGAAGGCATGGAAGGCTGCCACTCCATCTGGTGGTGAGGGGAGAAAGAAGACAGGTCAAGTTAGGGGACAGCTGGGAAGAAAGGAAGAAAAGACAGCAATTGTCGTTAATGGCTCTATTTTTAGGATGTAATTTTCCTGAACAAGGCTCTGCCTTTGTGTTCTGAACAGAAGCTGACACACTGGGGGGCCGGGGTTATTATTACTACTATTATTATTTTGCCCGTGGTTTTCTGCATCCCTGGGACAAGCTCCGAGCACATGAACATGCACGTGTCTTTCACAGACAGATAACAGGGTCCTACTTACTTTTGCTACTCAGCAACATATCAAAGGACTCCCTCCATCCCAGGACATCTTCTGAGAAGCTTCTGCAAAAGAAGGGGACAGAGCAGAGATGTTTAAATTATTTTTTTTATGTCAAGAAAGGCATAGTACACAACCTAGGCAGAAGTCAGTTATCAAAACTAACCCCTCAAACTCATATGGGGTCAGAATAAGCAGTGATAGTATATAATGGACGCCTGGGCATCCAGTGGCTGATGCCAAGGCCCCTTTAGTCCTCAGCCAGTCTTCCTAAGGTTTCCTCTTCTGTAACCAAAATTGACTCTATTCCCCAGGTTCTCAGCTTTGACTTGCACACCTCTCCAACGAAGCAGGAACTTCACAGAAACTCTACCTAAGACCCCAGAGCCTAGCACAGCACCTGTACTGCTGGTGGTCAATAAAAGTGGGAGGGTGGGAAGAGGGGGGTCTTCTAGGCAAGGAAGTCGATCCTGACTTAGCCCTGTATTCAAGAGCAAAGGCACCGCCAGATTGAAGTCCTATAAACAGGAGTGCACATCCTGCATGCAGGCGTCCGCTGGGGTCTGCAAAACCCGGACTCCATGGAGCTTGGCAGCCACAGCACAGCCGCAGCAAAGAGTCTCACTAAAATCTCCAGGAAAGGTGGCTTGGGGACCCCTAGCCTGTCTCCTTCCATTTTTCCGTCTCAGGCTTCCTGCCCTCTAGAATCTCCCCCACCCCGGTGAGAACAGGACTTACCTCTCTTTGCTATGTTTACTGGTCCACTCGAATTTGCTAATACCGCCGGTATCGGAGCTCAGCTCTGATTTATGAAGAAAGATCCCCAGGCGCGTCTTGAACTCTTTAGCTCTGAAAGACAAACCATGCGCATGTAAGGATTCTGTTTGCTCTGCCAGCACAGAGAAGTGTGTGGTGGTGGTGGGGTGGGGTCCCACAAGAACTAGCTCCAAGAAACCTGAGTACACTTGACCATTCCCCAAGGCTCAGAAAACTTTACACAGTAGGCTCTTCAAGTTCTGAGCCACAACAGCAGCACTCGTGTGTGCCCTGATAGGTCTTAACACTTTGGGGGCTTTAAAGCAGTGCAGTCGCGCCCTTCAGTCCCCTCTACCCAAGTTCCCACGCCTGACGGTTGGTGGATTCGGGACTTTGTCGTCGGGACTGCTAAACAAACTCACTCCTCTTACCTCTCCAGGCAGGAGTTTGGGAAGGTGGTCAGGGTGCGGCACATGGTTGCGGGCGCAGGGCAGCACGTCGTGCGGAGGATAGTAGGGGTCTCCACAGGGCACTGGAAGGCAAAGAGGAAAAGCGAGGCAGTCCCAAGTACCGAGAGCAGAGATGGGGTCGGCAGATGTGCCCGCTTCTGGACCGCGGTTACTAAGGCTTTTATCCTTGAGGGGTGGGGCGGGGCCGGGCGTCTCCGGCCAATAAGAAACTAGGGCTGAGTCTTGCGAGGGAGGAGGCGGGGCGGGGAGCATGGTGGGGCGGGGCGACACTGGCAGACCCCAGGGCCGCCTCCTGAGCACACGGGACTGTCCCCACCCCGGAGCTCGGAGACTTTGGGAGCCAAGAGAGGAGGGAGGCTTAAAGACGAGACGTACGCCCACAGGTTGCCAGGAAGTGGAAAAATAAACCGCCGACCTCTAGTAAAATCAGAAAAACAATTCAAAAGTGTTCGGAGGGTTTTGTGGGGGTGGTGGGTCCGGGAGGTACTTAAGGGATCACTGGAGAAGACTGAGCTTCTAGGGTCACAGAGGACAGGAGCACAGAGTGCATCACAAGAGAAGCACACCTCTGTTATACTGAACTCTCTCTGGTCAGAGCAGGCCCCATCACATGGGTTCCGGTGATGCGAGCTAAGTAAGCTATTCACACTCCCACCCTACCCTATCACCATCCCCTACCTCCCACCCCTTCACACTCCCGCCCCGCCCCCGGCCCCCATCACCTCTGATCAGAGGATCAGAAAACTAGAGACTTGGCCAAGATTAGGGTTGGAAACAGCAGGCATGTAGGGAAACATTTACTTAACACAATTATAGCAGAATGGCTGTGTGTTCTATAGTTATAGGGTAAATATTAGTGCCTGAATTCAGATGTGAATTTACCATGTTTTCTCACTGGAAAGCAAAGCAGAAACAGCTTTGTAACTGGTGAGTGATCCTGAGCAACTTGGAGTTCAGTGTCAGCTTAATGGAGATAAATGTGTGCTGCTCCCCATCCTCCCAGAAGAGAGGCACCAGTTTTTGCTATTGTAACTCAGATCCCTCTGAGACTGCAACTAAGAGGCAGCAGGTGAGGTGAAGGGTAGATATTTGTGGAGTTTCAAATCTTGGTTCTCCCGTATACTAATGAGAGACCTTAGGCAATCTTCATCTTTCCAAACGCTTCCATTTCTTTATGTCCAGGGTTTAGACAGCACTACACTTAGTTCAGGAGGTGTTGTGGGGACTCGAGAAGGTATCTGTTGGCTGGACTTCCCCAGGAAACATTCAGGACAAGTTCTCAGAGAGGGGAGAAGAATGGCGAGGCTGAACAGAGAAGCCATGTCACACCATCTCAGGGGAGGCCCCCAGAGGGTCTTCAAGGATGCTCTAGAGCTATATTGGACCTTTATAAATGTCTACTTCCGAAGCCAAATAGCAAGCCCTAACATTAACCACTTACTGGACGCTGCCATGCTGAGGTGGCCTGACCTGGCTCCAGGTGACTCATCTCTCAAGAGGGACAACAGAAAACATGCCACAGAAAGTGGCCACACTCTGGAGAAGGGGATCTGGGTGCCATGCCAAAGTACCCACATCAACATGTAAGGTGCTTGGAACAAGACTGAGCACTCTATCTTGCATTTCAATTTTACTTAGGCCAGAATTATAGACAGTAAAGAAAATGATGAATACAGATCTCTGTCTCATGGGGTAATCTGCTGAGTTACAGTTCTCCAGCCAGGCCTGCTCTGTGCTCCAAGGGAGGGAGGGAGGGAGGGAGGGAGGGAGGGAGGGAGGGAGGAGCCCGGAGGGAGATGGACCTGGGTGGTGGAGCACTTGCCTAGCATGTGCCAGATTTTGGGTTTGCTCCCCAGCAGAAGGATAAGGAGGAAAATAGACAGAGGAGAAGAAAGACGCAAAGGAGATGATGTTCTGACCTTAAAGAGGTCCGCTAGAAGGGCTGAAAAAAGTGGAAGGGGTGGGGAGAGCAGGAGGGGAGGCCCACGAGCTTGTAGTTGTTGATGGCGTTAAGACGACAGAGTCCAAAGTTAGACACAACGTGGGACAATTGGTCAAATAGACTTCCTCCTTGAGCCAGGGGTGCATAGTCAGTCAGTAAGGGGTGCATAGTCAGTCAACATAGTGCACCCTGGACTGTTTGAAGCCTTTTGCAAACTCCCACATACTTGGAGAGCCAAGGCAGATAGGACCCAGCACCCCTTTTCATCACACTTCTATCTGGGATGCAGCCAACAACACAGCTACATGCTCATCTTGCCAACCTCAGCTCTTGAGGGTTTCCAACCTCACTACCCCAGGGCTAGACCGGTGCTGGGCAGCAGTATGCAGGCAGGATGGGAGGATGTCTTGTAGAACAGATAGGTGCCTCAAGTCTTCAGCCCACACAGTACAGCCCACCATCCAGCCCTCCGGGAGCACCTCCTTGGTGCTCCTCACGCCCACAGACACACTTTTATCACACAGCTGCCAGGCATGGGTGTAGGTGTTATCCATGGCACAGCCATTCTCCGTGTGATAAAGTGGGAAAAGAGAGATTATGGATGGATGGATCAAGCTCTAGTCTCACCTGCACTCCTGCTCATATTTTAATCAGCCCAGACATAACCACGGGACAATCATGCTGATTTCTGCAGACTCCTCCCAAACTTCCCTGTCCGTTCTGTATCGCCGTGAATAGGCCACGGGAGGCTTTTAATTTTCATTTTGCAAGCAACAAAATAACAGTGCCTGAGGTACCCTTCATGAAATAAATCCAGACTGGAAATAGCTGAAGCCAGGGCTGTCTCCAGTTTCCTAGCTAGTGTGTTCTATTTGACAAAGCAAGCAGAGACAAAGGGAGTGATGCACAACACACAGACAGGCAGATCTGAGAGCACACAGCTCCCTGCTGAAGATGAAGAGCCCTCCTCAGAGTTCAACCTGCCTCCCAGTTGCCATGGTTACCTCTCCAGTTTCCAGGCAGAAACTTTTTGACGCTCACAGTGTATCCCAAATTCTCTTCCCAGCAGGTCAATTCCTATCTGTGATTTCAGAAATACAACTGGCTCTGCGGTTGCTGGGAATGTAGCCAGTTGAATTTGCTTGTGAATCGCACTGGCTTTGACAAAACCTGACCTCATTTTTTTGCCCAGCATGTCCAGCACAGCTGCCATTTCTTTAATGGAAGGTGTGGGGACAACAGCTTTGTGGCCTGGGTCATCTGGGATCAGCACTCTGAGCAAAGCTGAGGTCAAGATTAAATATCCCACAGTGTCCAGCCCTACCCTCCTTCATTTCCATCAGCCCCTGTGGTACCCATTACTAACCTTTCTGTGGCAGCAGAAGTCCAGAGAGGAGCTTTGTCTATTATAAATGGTGTGGTGGTGAATGGCTGAAATCTCCTAAAAAAACACCACACACACACGCGCCCGCGCGCATACACACACACACACACACAGAGGATTCCCAATTGGGGATCCTCCAAATTGAAAACTCAGTCTTCCCATAAATATTTATTTAAAATTTACTGTGTTCACAAGTCAGTGGGAAACAATAACTTGTTAGACTCTTCCCTTATAATGTAGGGACTAGGAAGATGGGGTGGCAAGTAAAGTAACTGCTTTACACACACGAGAACCTTAGTTTGGGTCCCCAACGCCCGCCTAAAAAGCCAGGTGCTGGCCACATGTCTGTAATCCCAGGGCTGGCAAGGGAGGGTGTGGGATAGACTGACAGAGACAGAAGGGTCCCTGGGGCTTGATGGCCAGCCAGCCTAGTTAAAACCCAGGTTCTATCCCTGGAGGAAATATCAGGATGCTGCACTCATCTTTCCATCCCATAATTATGTGTCCTGTATCCTCTCCCCACCCCACCCCCTTATTTCCTAGCTCCATTCCTTTCTCCCTACTCACGTTTTCCACTTTTTGGCCCTTGCTGTGGTGTCATCACTGGCTCTGGACTTTTCTGATTGCTTACTTCCTAGTCCCTTGTGTCTACAATTCCCGAGGGTGGCTGTGGAAAGCCCCATCCTCTGCTGAAATCCCACAGTTAATCTCTGAACTCTGCAGTCCCCTGCAGCCCTTCCCAGCCCACACTTTTCCACCCCCATTTGCTCCTAGAAGATCCTGCCTCCCACTTGGGAGGGCTAGTGTCCTGTAGTCAGACCGTTAGCTTCCAAAGTCTTAGGGACAGGGATACAGTGAGTCCTTCAGGCCCTTGCTCCTCCCTGTCCTGCAGCACCCTGGCTCTCTGTTTATACTCCCTGGATTTTGGCATGATGGTATGAGCCCTCATAACTCCCAAGCACGGTGTTTATGATTGGGCACATATGAGCTTGTCTGCCAAGCTATGCTTGTCTTCCTAACACCACAGTGGACCATCCACTGCCTCCAGCCACATGGATTCCCCCTGACTGCCAGTGACCAGGTTTTCTGACCTCTTCCCATGTTTGCCCACCCAATGGTGCCTCAGCTCTCATGCCTGCCCACAGCCCTGTGGTCCTAGTGATCCAATCCTTGGGAGACCAGGTCCATCAGCGGCACCCACGACCTCATTTAATCTTCATATTGCCATTTCCAAACTGGGAGAGCTATCTACGAGCTTGAGCTTCGTTGTGGCTCCCCACCCCGTTTCCTCACATTTGTTACAAATAGCTCTCTTCTGAGACCGCCTCTCTTCCATTCACTGAGACTCAGAAACATGCTTTTGAGAAATCTAGATTTCCCTCAGGGAGGCACTTTCCAGGGCCCTGAAAAGTCATTCAGAATGAAAGACTCTAGAAGAGGGAAAATTCTGAGGCCTGGCATTTGCAGGTGACTGGGAAGCAGGGGTTAGACCTCTAAGTCTGCACACAAGCTGTTTTGCACCTAGTCTGGCAGGTTCTGGCTGAGGCTGAGCTTTGTTTCAGGCAGGAGCCCAGCCCGGAAGGAGCCTGACACCCATCACACTGGGACTGGAGTAGAGGAGATGTTCTAGCCATCCCCAGCATCGCCCCCTGTCACCCCTCCACCAGGAACTCCAAGCAGGGTACAGAGCTCTCCTCTCCGAGAAAATAGCAAACTGCCAGCGACAAAACAGA